CTGATGATCATGCCTCGAACACTTTTACCACTTTGCAGGCCGTGCCAGGATTTTAGTCCGTCTCGGTTGTTGTTATCTCACTTTGGATTGCTTACCATCGAGGGACTGAAGGTGAACAAAGCCCCAAGACCTAATGTATTGCTAGCTGTGCGAATACCGAACGTATTAGAACGCACTGGTAGAGGTATCTTTAAGGGTTTAACAAGACAGCATTGCCTGAAGGAAAGCCTCTTATTTCTTGGGTCCTTTTCAGTGACCCCAAGGTTCTTCACTATATGACACCACTTTTCCCTAGTCCTTTATCACCTTGCAAAAGCAAATAAGTGAAGACGGCAAACGTCTACGATTCGCCTTACCTTAGTTCAAACTAAAAGTGTCATTATTCGCTGATCTGTGACAGCTATAAGGCTCTGACATTGAGTTCACTTAGTGATGTGACGTCAGAAAATTTGAATCGAATATGATTTTTTTTTTTCATTTTTTTTAATAAAAATTTCTGTCAATTTCTTCACTGTTGTATTCCTGAGGCATTTCCATAAAAAATGTCGTTAGATAATAAAAATAAAACCATAATTAAAATGTGTTGGAGCCAAAGGAAATTAAGTGTTTCTATAAATCTTATCACAGTGGAGACCCTTTTTGAACTTTAACCTTAAAAAAAAAAACAAGGAAAAGTTTTTTAATATCAGTTGGCCCTTACCCCGGACGCTGACCCAAGGTCGTATGTGAGTTGGGATTGATGCTGATGTTCGTCCTTGGTCTGCGAGTATTTTATAATTTTTCTGTTTTCCTCTTCCATAACACTTAATTTTAAATTTGACGAGGAATCAGTGGAGGAGGAACAAGCGTGTGTATAAACCATTGCTAAATCAAATGTATTTATTTTATTTACTTACCATTCCAGGGAAATCCTATCCGTCCATTTGAGGAGGCGAGTCTGTTAGCACTGAACTCCACGTCAGAGGGACTTTCTAAAGCTCTGAATGAACTGGACCAGGTATCCACACGCACACAGGACACTGTATTGGTGTTCTACGTGAAAGCTGAGCAGGGATATGCCCACGATATAATAGACAACCAGGTGAGGTATCTTTGACGTAAAACAGAATCGCATGCTGCAACACTTTTGAAAGAAATGAAGTGTCGATCTTTATGTTACCTTTGTGTAGATCCCGCCGTTGTTTAAAAGTTTTCCCACGTATTGCTTGGCCTAAGACGTCTTTCCACGCTTGCCATTGGTTGTGTTTTCCCGCGCTTTGCAGGGCCTCATGCGTCGTTTTACGCGCTTCGCTTTTTATCGGTCATGAGTTTCTCGCGCCTGGTATGAATTTTTTTTTTCTCCTTATTGCCCCTTTTTATTTCCTTGAAACCGGTTTCAGAATTCTTCCACTGGGTTATGATTCGTTTGTTATGACATTTCTCTTCATTTGTTGCCACAGATTAACACCTGTAAGCACTCAAAAGCGTTTAAAGAGTTTTTGCTCTCTCTTGGGTGGCCTGTTGATGTTGCCACGCACCCAGGATGGTCAGGAAACATCCAAGAGGCTTGGAACCGAAACAGAAATGATGACGACACTCTCACGCTGCGCCAGCGTGATAGTCCACTCCAGTCCTCTCAGAGCGTCTCGACTCTCACGGGCAGCGAAGAACGAGACATATCTGGTTACAGTGGCGTGAGACACACATCGTTTCGCGAGAGTTTCGATAGCGAAGTATCTGGTGATGGAAAAGATTCTTCAATAATGCATTCTACAGCTGCTGGTGTGCCTTTGGAAAAGAAGGCCGACGAAATTTTTTATTTTGCAGACGTGAGCTGTGAGGTAGCGTTCATTATGCCTTCTTTGTTACCAAGCTATCAGCATTTCCGCCACATGGCTTCACATGCTGGGAGTTGGGAAGACCTCGGATTTACACAGAGAAAAAGGACTCGGTCGGGCAGCACGGGGAGCCTGGATACTAACAGCAGTGGTGGTGGAAGTCAGTTCGATGTCAGAAGCAGACTTTCTCGGAAAGCGTCGGAAGGGCCTGGATACGAGGTGAATTGGCTGAAACAATTATTTTCCATTTGCTATACTCACAAACATAGGGTGATTTTGAAGATAAGATTTTTATTTTCTCTGTTCTATTTGGGCATGAATAACAACGGAAAAATTAAATCAGTTTAAAGGATTTGCCAACGTGAAAAATGTGGGAGAATGCGTTTAAGCTCGGCTCGAATCCTGAAAAATGTTGAAAATATCTTGTTGATTTTCGCCTGGTGTAGCTAGATTTGTTTTATATTTCTTTCTAGATCTTTTCAGGGTGTTGCTTCCAAAACGATTTGTTATAGTAAGATCATCTCGCGGAAAAGCGCCTTTCGTTCGAGTGTCTCAAAACCAATCACAACAGCCAATCAACGCAAGAAAAATGTCACCGGGAGCCAACTGCTCTAAGGGCAGGAAGACGCGCGTGACCAATTCGCGATTGGTTTAAGTTTTGAATCTGATTGGTCGATAAAGTGGTGCGAGTTTTCTGAACCAATCACATAACGAAATAATGCAAAATTAAAGCAATCCTGGATTACTTTCGACAATCAATTAAAAATTGCTCCA